AGAACCTCAAGCCTTAATAAAAGTGATTTACAAAAGGAACAATCAGTTTCTCACTATCAGAGGGAGGCAAATTAGAAAAATACTTTTGAAAAGTTTAGCACAAACGAAGGGTGCTTTGGAACATTCACGAACGAAGGAACCTTGGAGCAAAGTGAACAGCGCTTTGGAGCAAGAGAGATACAAAAATGTGAATGATGTTTTGGAACCCTTATTAGATCAAAGGACGATCTATGACCTCTTAAATATTATTGTTAGATCAAAATACGATCTTAGATCTCTTAGGGTATAAGTTTTAATGTTAACAAACTTAGACATTCTTCATATTATATTATAAGATAAATTAGAATAGACGATTGGTTATGATGACACGTGTAGTCTCTTAGACAAACTACTTCATCTGTAAGACGAATGCATTTAATACATATCGTTTATAATGTCTGATAATCAAATCATATTTGTTTACATTATTGCTTAACAAATCTAAAGGAATAAAAAGCATATTCGGTATTTGCACTTCAAAAAGGAACAAACATGTTTTTCGATAGAGAAAGGTTAAGAAAATCCCTCAAAGCATACGAAGTCTCAGAAAAGTCATTTTTGACTGACACACGCAATAGTTCCTTTTGTTTAATACCTTAAAGGTGATAAGTAGTCTCCTTGATTAAATAAAAAGTGACAATTTGGTGAAACACATTTAACGTTCACATTTAATGCACCAATAGACACTTCTCTCTATAAGGAAGGAAGGCCAACATAGACGAAGCAACCCATTGAAAAATGCTCCAAAATTTGCAAAGATCATCTTCATGAAGCATTTAAGTATTACACCGCTTAATAACCTTATATTAAATGTGAATTTTTTAAATCTAACCGTTAGATTGAAAGTTCTTTACTCTTAATACAAAATTTTATTAATCTAAAATGATTTGATACTTCATTCTTATAAAACAAAATTGACGTAATATATACATTTCAAAATATACTAAAATATGAACATTTTGATTACCTTCAAGTTCTTGTTCAATTTTAACAAAATTTGATATACACATATAAAGTGATATGAACTTTCAATCATGATTTATATTAAATTTTAACTATTTCATCGTTAAATTCAAAATTCTTATTAAATAAATCAAGTTAATAAATTTTTACAAAATTTAGAAACTACTTAATATTTTGTTTTATTAATTCAAAATGATGAATATTTATAAAAAAATATTATACTTTATTTATATATATAAACCTAAGTATCATTAAAGTGAAAGAAAATCATTATCCTTAAAACTATTTTGCAAAGAAGTGATAAGTAATATAGTCCTTCACTATTTTGCGAGGGAGTTGAGAACAATGCTTTATAGTCCATTCATGAGGAATTTGCAAGGAGATAACTCTTTCACCAAATAAAAATTTGTTTTTTAAACTTTGGCTAAAAATTTTGTAAAGGCAAAAGTCTTCCACTAATTAACTATTGACTTTAGTGAGAGAGTAAAAAAGGAGTAAAAAGTAATAACTAATTTCTCATTATTTAGTAAAGGAATCGCGTGATAATTTATTTCATATTAATTTGTCTCTAATTAACAATGGATTCATGAGGAAATCTTATCTTTTATTATATAGATAAAAATTAATGTATAATATAATTTTATAAATATATATTAATTTAAATTAATGTAATAAAGTAATAAATAATTTCAAATTTTAAAAAAAACCGTAGACTCTAATCAATTCATTAAAGAAATTTAATTTGACAGTTAGATCAATAAATTATTATGTGAAATAATTATACCAAATCTTATTCTTGAACTAAGAAGTTCCGTCTCCTATGTCCCTATCTATTTATCTATCTATGAAAAATTAACTTATATATTTTTTTAATCATCTATCGAATCATATCCCATTTACGAATTATACCTAAAAAAATCCTTAATACGGAGGCCAAAAGCCCAAAAGTACACTAGGGGTGTGCAAAAAATCCAAATTGATCCGAACCGATCCATAACCGATCCGATCCATATTGAAAAATCTGATCCATTTTGAAAAAAAATCCGAACCGAACCACTTTATAAAACCGGTTCAGTTATCCGATCCATTTTTACAAAGTGGATCGGTTCGGTTCGGTTTGGTTTTTTAAAAAAACCGATCCATATATGAGTAAAAAGTGGATAACTGCACCGCACCGAACCGATCCAATTTAAAAAAAACCGATCCATATTTTAAGAAAACCAAACCGATCCACTTTATAAAAAATGGAGCGGTTAACCGATCCACTTTTATAAAACGGTTCGCTTCGGTTTGGATCGGTTTTTTCAAAAGACCGATTCATGAACACCCCTAAAGTACACCACGCCTCCTACAAGGCTGAAACTTTGGTAATATAATAAATACTAGTATTATTTTTCTTCTTTCTTTCGTAGATATCTTTTGGTTTCTTTAATATAATTAATCAATTCTTTTATCTTAATTTCTCTTTTCTCTTTCATTTTTTAAAATTTTATTCAAATAAAATATAGAAATACGAAAGAATTTTGTCTTTACCGATAATTATAATATAAATATTGGGTGTAATAAAAGAGGAGAATAATGTGAAGTGTTATTTTGGCGGGTAAAATGAAAGGGGTCCAGGAGATAGATAGGACATAAAATATAGATATATTTATTGGTCAACCACATTTGACAGACTCAGCTCCACACTTTCTCACTATCCCTGTCGCCACCTTTTCAATTCCTACCCTCCCACTATCTTCTAAATTTTTCCTTTTTTTTTACACCATGCATTTATACAAAATTAATATTAATATATTATTATCATTTTTCAATAAAAACTACCCTTAACATTTTCTAATCTGTTTTTTTTATATCTATATATATATGAAAAAGTTAATTTATAAACAAACTCATATTCGAAAGCAAGTATTAGCTTTATTAGTGTGTCTGCTTTACCTTTTTTTCCTTGAAACAAATAGACGTTTAAGAAAAGTTGGTAATTGAAATTCGTGAAAATATGAATTTCCAGAGCTCAAATAAGAAAATGAGAAGTTTGTGAGTTCGATATCCCGTAGTGCATGTTTGGATTAGCTTTTGAAACATGATTTTACATTTTCTCTCCATGTTAAATATCAATTTTACGTGGAAGCAAATAAAATAATACAAGAACTTTATGTACTAATTCTTGTGAGAAAACATAAGTTAAGAAATTAATACACTTATATTCAATTAAGAAGAAGATACACACTCTTGTCTCTTAGTATGAGCTATGGTAAGGAGATAAATTCATTTATATAGCATTGCACAAGGTAACACAAAGTAAACTATCTAGATGATTGGGAAACGAAAAAAATGATTACAGAAAATAATCATTTACTGCGTAAACAATGTAAAATGTTTATAATTTGATAATCCCTCGTCAAGGTAACATGGCACATGCGGAGTTGATGAATTTCATAAGCACCTCAAAACAACAGAAACGATAGAAATGTGGTACCGAACCCATTTCAAAATTATTGGAAATCTTGAAAGCAAGCATCTTCAGACATGTTTTGAAATATTAATTCGAATAATAAATTAAAAATGAAAATAAGTTGTATTGTGTTAATTATTTATAATATAAAATAAAAAAAAGCATTCCCCCAAACTTAAAACAAAAAAAGAAAAGTTGCGAAGAATTGAAGATGTGAACGTGCATGGGATTGGTCCCAGGTGCATCTAATTAGTTGAGAAAAAGAGGGGTAATTGATTTTGTTAACAAAACTATCACATTCACATGGTTGACTTCATTCCCCAATGTCAAGTTACGTGCCGTCAAGGATTGGTGCTCCAAACTATGATATTATCGACAATTGATTTTCTCAAGCCCCATATATGTTTGTTAATAGTCATAATCATATCATATTGTTGAAACCACTTTAATTTCATTTCAAACTAAAAAGATCCAATTCAAGATTTGTGGAATCAATCAATTTCTTCAAATGACAAATATGGTATTAAGCAAGTGTTATTTGAATGAACACAATGTCAAATACACCTAGATTTATGCCCAAACCACCATAGGACGTTCCAAAGTAGACAAGATGTGCTTAACCCCAAAAAAGAAGTAGACAGGATGAATCATGCTATATGACATAGCTTTGAAATAGACTTCTACTGCACCAGATCCAATGACAATCATTAAAAGAAAAATACTAGTAATTGAAAATTGGAATATATATTATATTACTTCCATCTCGTAATATTTATTTTCAAAGCAGTATACTATTAAAAAATATCTTTATTAAAAGCGCTAAATATGAATAATTTAAATATTTAAGTGAGATATTGATAAATAAAATGTCGTTAATAAAAATAGTTGGTATTACTTTTAAAAGTAACAAGTTTAAAACAAACAAAATGTGTATAACAGTGAAAGTACGCCCTAACAACTTTCCATGATGGTCTTGGACCAAATGACCTCCACAAGTGTTTGACATTGACTTAGCAGAGGAAAACGTACCACATCCACATTATATTTGGGAACGGAACGGCAATACAATTTTTTTTCTTGGAAAAAACAAAAGCTAACAGCATATTTCTCAACACTTGCTTTTAAATATTTTTCATTTTTAAATAAATCTCATAAAATCTGCTAAATAATCTAAATCGACTCCCAATTCAATGAAATTAACACAATTTATCAGATAAGAGATAATGTATTAAGAAGAAAATGTCAAAGCATTTGTAACATTTTCTCAAAAATCATTCACACGTTCACTATTTCGTAGTGAAAAATGATCCTTTCCAATGAAATTGAAGATGAGTATCATGTGAATTCATTTCATCTATTCTAACTTTTAAACATAAATTTATAATATTTTCTATAAAATAAATAATTTTATGACCATGATCTCATGCAGTGAAAATGCCACTCCAGAGGATCTTTACAAGTTTCTAAAATTTTTAACATAAATTTTATACCTTGCTTAAATCAGTAGATTATAATCAAAATTTATACTTTTTTCAGTTAAAAATTACAGGTTAATTAAAAGGAAATATAGATTAATAAAAAGTTACAAACTACCGCTGTCAACTTTGAATCCTGACAAGTCTCTGCACATATGGCCCAAAGCTTCCTGCTGCACAGTGTAAACTCTGAAACTCATAAACAGGAACCTCGGTACCAGAGACATAGACACAATAATCCACAATGGAACATGTTCATCTCAAATCACACCAAGACATCGTACAATGATATATACACAGAAGGGGCATAGCTCTAATAGAAAACTTGTCAATTTCAATGGTACTGTAGCTATTAACTCTTTGGCTGGTCAATTATCTCCTTGTGATTGTGCAGATATACATCATGTGACTTGACATCAGTGTTGGAATGATTGGAATGAGTGCAGTAGGGCTCAAAACTGTCCTGCTCTTATATCTCTATCAAGGCGATCTGCGTTAAGTGTCCCTGGAAGCTCTCTAAAGTCTTCATTGAAGATAGAATATGCACTGCATGGGTTTGTAGAGTAGAACATATTTAAAAACAATCAAAATAGTTTGCAACAAGTAAACTTGATATCCACAATCATTAATAATTGGTAAAAAAATAAAATTGCATGAGTAGGTTCAGAATGCTTCCAATATATATATATATATATATATGTTATGAATAGACAAGCAATCATGAATATCTTGAGCATATAAATGAGGTAAAAGATGAGACAGAATATATCATTAGCCTTACTAATTACTATCAATATATACTCCTTTTCGTCTTTCTATTTTGAGAAAATGCAGTATTACTTTCATGTTTTCGAAATTGAAAACTGCAATACTAAACCTATGACATCCTTCACATGGATCGAGCAATATGAAAAGGTTAAATAAGAAGCCGTAGTGATATTACGCCTCATACTAGGAATTTGCAAAGGGATTTAACATCCTGATATATTATAATACAACCCAGATATGTACAACATACATCACTCTTATTTGAATTTTCAGATTTGACTTTCACCTTGTATATCACTTTGAAGTTTGAACAAAATAGTACACAACAATCGATGTCTGGTGGTCATACCTGATGTCACCAGCTTGGCGCTTTCCAAGATTGAAGAGAATGAGACAAAAGCCAGTTACAAGTATCTACACGAAAGTTGTGACAAACAATTAAAGACATGAATTTTATCCTATATAATGATCAAAAAGTACCCTTTTAAGACATCTTAATTTAATCTCTACAATCTCAAATCAAATTATGGGTTCGAGGTCACCATGGTGCAGGGAAATTCTCAACATATCAGATGAATATCTAACCATAAGATTTATACTAGAAAGCAGTAAAATTTGCCTCAGAATTTTCACAACATACGAAGACTATTTTTTTGTTTTATCTTTTTCAAAGGTCGCTCCGGGTGGAGGGCCAGGGGAATTCAGATTCAAGATAAGCTTAAATGACCAGGCCTGAGTGTTAGATGAATTGACTTATAGTCATAGACCAAAAAAAATTCGCAAATAAAACTACACAGTAATTTGTGCACTAAAATTTATGTTCCAGCATCCCAAATCCCAGCTATGCACGGGCACGATAAACAGTGGACATGGACCAAAACAAAAAACAGATAGATAGTGAATTACAAGCCCAAAAAAAAAATAGGAAGGGAGAAAGGACACATACATACAAAGGACCGAGTTCCCATCTATGGGCAACAGGAGCCAGGATAAACCACAAAATTATGAGAACCCATGCCTTCAGACTCAGAGTAAAAATTACCATCAAAAGGATATCTGTCAATGAAAGATGAGCATATTTAGAACTTAGAAGATTGTTTATCTCAAAGGGAACTATTATCATCATCATCATCATTATTGTGGTATTGCTCATAAGTGATCCATACATCTAAACTAAAGTGATTCCTGGAATAATGCATACACTTACTGAATAATTCCAGTGTTAATTTTGTATGCATGCAAGCAAATTATGGTGATACATATTGGAAAAGAAACATGGCATATGCTTTAAGTGCCAAATTAATATAACTTGAAGATTCTTAAATAGGAACGTTCAAATGATTTCAAACGATGATTTGAGCATTATGGATTCCACAATTAATGATTACATATTTCAAAATAGTAGTTTACTAGTGTCTAAATGAATATTACCTGGAAGCTTCAAGCTATCGTGTAGAAAAGAGTACAGCCTCTTCTTCCACCGACTTGAGGATTGAGGAAGCCGAAACTTCTGCAGAAGCAGAAATCAAGGAGATGATGCCATTGAATCAAATGAGTACCCAATTGACATTATGGCCACTTTGTTAGATGTTAATGAATTGATCTTACCAAATCTTCATCGTCTTCATCATTCTCATATCCATCCTTCACTGGTGGCTTTGGTTTGACAGCAACAATCACAGAATCTGGTAAATAAACAGGCAATTAATCACATCTTTGTAAGACGTAAGAAAATTTAACATAAAAATAAAAAGAAAAGTAAAATACTATTGACCCAGGCAGAAAGAAAAGGAATCAATATAATCAACAAGTAATCTGGTATTTCAAATTTGTAATAGGCCAAGGAATAAAGTTATGGAGAGAATGATTTAAACTGATAATTATACTGATGCTGGTTTAAATTAATATCAAATTTGAAAGAATGAATGTTAATAACGTCACCATAGTATAGACTACAGAAGGTCACAACGATGTGAAAATGTCATAGGAAAACAATCTTCATTATCAGATAACAAAATTAGGACTAGAACCATACCTCCATCATTGAGTTGAACGTATACATCATCTCCATTTTTCATGTCACACAGTGCACTTCCGCGCAGAACAAGACTCAAGTTGTCAATTTGTAAATTATCATTCCCGGCAATTAACCTCCTCAAATCACGCACCTACAAGTGATTGAGAAAGCTATAATCTTAACAAACTAATTAAAAGAATCAGGATTGTAAAGCTTCGATTAAACACTCTGGTGCATGAACGAATTCCAAAGGCAAGGCTCATGCCGCCACATACACACATACAAATATTACAAAAAACCCCAATCCATGCTTGAATTGCAACTAACCCTAAGTAAGTATTATCGTGTAGTGAAATTTTTGCGATGTGTGAAAGGTTATTGATTCTCTCAATTGGTAATTGGCATGAGGCCAGAAATTGAAATGGTAACTATTGGGATGGTAGAATTGAAAAAAGCGTATGAATTGGGAAAAGAGAGAAACCTTGATGGAAGAGGGAACGAGGAGGCGAGAGGGGCGTGCGGGGCCAATGGTTTTGAGGAGGATCTCCACCTTGTGGGAGTCGTCTTCCTCCATCCCCGACTCTAACCGCATACCACTCAAATTGACAATGGAGCCCGACAATGTTAAACTTAATCTCATAAATATAAAACCAGTTTCAATTGGATTGTATCACTTTTTAAAATGGATCCTATCTGTTTAAAAATAAATAAATTCGATTCTTCAATTTTTATTAGAATTTTCCACTAGTTTTTATTTATTTATTTATTTACTTTCACATGTTTCTCTCAACCTATTATACCAAAATTAATCTTATTTGCAATACTGTAACCAGACTACATAGGGGTCTCCCCTTGACTTGGTAAAAAAATTATGATAAAATATTTTTATTTTACCAAATACATGATTACATTAAAAGGTTAATTTAAAATTATATATATTATATTGTGAGAATTTTAGGGCTTAAAAGAATGATATTCAAATTAGATAAAGAATATAATTATTTAATGATTATGATTTAATATTTATTTAAAGAGGGTGAATTATTTTTTTTAAGTAAAGTTATTTAGATTTATTCTATTTAATAGTTTATATTTATATTTAATTTTAATTATCCAATCAGTAAATTAAAAGTTCTTAATATATAGATTACGTCTATAAAACTTTTTAAAACATAAAAATTATTTGATACTTTGTTTCATTAATTAAAGTCAATATATAAATTACATTCTGTCAATTTGAATTAATGAAATGTAATATCAAATAATTTTTAAATTTTTAAAAAATTGTCAACTCAGTCTATGCATTAATAATTTTTAATTTAATTGTTAAATTATTAAAATTTGATATAAAATATAAGTTATTAAGTGTAATAAATTTAAATAAATATTTCATCCTTTTTTGAGGTGTATTGGATTTGTCCCTAATTGTGACCATTGTGAGTTGCAACAAGTTTTTGCAAACAACAGAGATCTTTAAATTTTTTTAGTTTAGTTTATATGATTTACAATCCTTGCAATGAAAATGACATCTCTTCTCAATTCTCAACTCAACCAGTACACACATCCACATTGGGGAATTGAATTATGAATTGTGACAATAATTTTCACTTTTCCTAATTCTTGTTCCAAATAGTTCAAATACCATCTACATTCTTTATTAGATTAAATGTAACATTTTTTTTAATGAATATGGTTCATGGAGTGTCTCAAAGGTAATAATTAAGAATTAGTTCACACTTGTGGAACATGACTTTCACTAAAATACACATATAAAAAGTGATATTGGTACTATTTTCTAATATACAAAAAAACAAAAAAAAACATGTATTTAAATTCTAAAGTATATGATATATTTTTTCACTACCATATCAAAAGTTATCAAAATTTAAAGAATATATATATATATACAACTATTAGATATTATAAAAAAAAAATAGATATCGGTAACATGATCGATAGAATTATTAGATAAAGTTTAACTTAATAAATTTGTCAATTTATTGTTATTTACAAATATCTAATTTCTTTGGGAGATAATACTAATAATTTTATGTATATATTCCTTAGTGAAAAAAATATATATATACTATGCACTTTAAAATTCACATTATGTGTTTTTAGCTTTATATCCCTTAGAACCGGTGCCACCGTGTATATGTACATTAACTTTATTTTTAACACCGGCGATAATCATTTTCAGGAGTACAAGAAATGTAACATATGTTTTTTTTTTTTATTCGTTCTTGGAGTATCTACTGCTGATAGGCGTGACTAATCTCTTTGGAGGCACCTCAAAGGGTGGGATAACTGGCTCTAAGATTTAACGCGGCTGCATATACAAGATAAGATTCGAATCCTGACCTTGCTTAAGTGTGGATCAATCCCTACCGCTGAACTACATGTTTGGGATTAAATGTAACATATGTTTAAACATGCGTATGTTAGTTACATTTATTTCATTGTTTCTTATGCAAATTTTTAATAACATGAAACAGATTAAAACTAAAGTGAGAATTTTATATTTAAAAAAGCCCGTAGTTGCTTCAGCTGATATTATACGGGCATTGGATCACATGAAGCGAAACAAGACACGCCGTAGACAATGCATCTAATTTCATCATAATACGAGTAGATTCTTTATCTTGTATAATTATTGTTGGCCTAATATTTTACTTATCAGAAGTTCGTCTCTGAGTCATGCTCCCAGGAGTTCAACCTCTTCTCTCTTTCTTTTTTTCACAATACTATTTCAATTATTTGTATTCTCTGCAACATTCGCTTTTAATAGAAACAAGCAAAGGAAGAAGTCTAGTGACAAAGTTGGCCATCCATTGATGCACCAAAACAAGTACCATGCTTCTGCTACCTCACTTCCTCTGCGACAACACTGCATTGGTCCATCAAAATGAGAGCTCATGTCAATTGAGAAGTCCCTGGTGGTGGTTCGTTTCATATCGTGCGTGGACGAGGTAAAAAAAAATCAGAAAAGTAAATGAAAACTTCAGAGTTATTTGTAGTAACCTCTTTTAAATATTGATTGTTCAAGTTGCTGGTAATAAAAATCTTGCTGCCATTCATATATTTTCCTTAGGTGTAGGACATTATAAAAAAATAAATAAAAAATGAAGCATCTTCGCTTGAAAAAGAGAAGAGAACATATTATTACGATGCATAAGAAAATGTACTGCACTTTGAACTTTTCAAAATCTCACATAAACATAAACTAACATAGTACTGAGACAACACACTTGTCACAGTCATTACAACGTATGACCCAAGCATGTGGCCAGTGAAACTATTTACATAGGTTGACAAATTATAACCAGTTTAGTCACAACATAGGAAAAGTGAAAGTTCCACCAAACGATAATCCATTAGTTTACACATACTCATGAACTAGTTTATCATTGAAACTGATCAGATTTTGACATCAGGGGATTCAGCATAAGAAATTGAAATCAGTTCAGACCTAAACTTCTCGTCTTGATCATAGTTTGGCTTGGCAACCCCATCTGATTTCTTGCTCTCGATCACAGAATTTGAATCCAGAATCTTATCAGGGGAAGTGTTAGAGATAGCAATAAGCGACTCACGTGCCACCTCCTTGGACTCCTTGCTCGGTAATTTGCTATCCATATAACTATTTGCCTTTTCTTTTTCCTAAAAGTCAAAACCAAAATTCTCTTTGAGATCATCCGAGGGGTCAGATATTTTAAAATTATGTTGTGCTACCAGATATTTCAAATCTATGTTGTGAAAGCAGGTTAGCTGAATGCTGACCGATTTTTGGTCAAACCATTCAGCCTGGTAGGTTTGTTTGACCTCATAAACTGGCCGCCAGACCAGGTCTAGTGCCCGGGTTTCACAACTATGTTTAAAATACAAACACCTATTAATAACCACGCATCAATCATATATCTTAAATAGGTCTATGAATGCCTTCATACAGTGAAAGGGATTCATTAGCTGAGCAAACTAAAACATCAATGTAATAACTTATAAGGATGAGCAGAGAAGAGAACTCAAGCTGTAAAGAATGATCAGTATTCACAAGCACGCCCAAAGGTGTGAGGCCACTTGGTGATCTCGCAATAAAGTTAACAAAAACTTCAAAAATACTAAAAAAATGTTGAACTGCATATGGTTCGTTACTTCCATACCTGCCTTTACTTTAAAGAATCAAAAGCTGTGCAGGAAAAATTAAGAGCGAAACATGTTTTATAAAACCAGCATTCCAAAAAGTAGCTGTAATGATTCCACAAGTATGATTATTGATTAACCAGTTAACACCTTCCGGTGATGAACATCGTATCAGCCAAATTTATTTTTCTAACCTAATTAATCTAGTGAATGCCAAAGACAGTAGTCAGAGATCATGACATTCAACCAGGCACAAAAATGCATATACTCCTATATAGCAGCCAACATCTCAGATTAAACATAGTTTAGTACAAAATGTCCCGTTTCTTCTATTCGTCAACTTTTAGAAATCTCATAACAGTAACATATGCAACTTCCAAACCAATTTAACATCTCTTATACAACTACACAGATCCACTAACATTTTGCTTCTACTATTCCTTCAACCAGATCTTTCACTTTTAGCCAAGTCTCAATCCATGACATAAAGATGAATCTCCTTTTTACTCAGGCATATATTCTCTGTTTAAGGATATCCTTTATTGTAAGTCGTCTTGAATCAAATAGGCTCTAAAGTCCATGTATCAAATACTACCCAATTGGGCTTCACTGCACAAAAATAGAGGGACAGAAAAAGAAGAGAAAAACAGAGAAAATAATCTGCCAATTACAATCATGTCGAACAGAACTTCTTCCAATTAACACGTGCAAGAACATATATCAAATAGGCTCTAAAGTCCATGTATCAAATACTGCCCAATTTAGTTTGACTGCCCAAAAACGGAGAGGCAGAAAAAGAAGAGAGAAAGAAAAAAGTAATCTGCCTATTACAATCAAATCCAACTGAACTCCTTCCAATTAACACGTGCAAGAACAGATTCTAACATGTATCCCATTTAATTAAAAAAAAAATTATATATATATATAAAAGGATTCAAACGGTACCCTCAATAACTTTATATTAAATGTGAATTTTGTAAATTCAATCATTGAATTATAATTTCATATCACTTTATATGTTTATATCAAATTTTGTTAAAATTGAACAATAACTTGAAAGTAATCAAAATGTTCATATTTTATTATATTTTGAAATGTATATATTATGTCAATTTTATTTTATAAGAATGAAGTATCAAATCATTTTGTATTAATATAAAATTTTGTATATATAATATAAAATTATTGAACGGTAATACTTAATAAAAATTACACCAATATCATTTGAACCATCTTCTTATATATAATAATAATAATAATAATAATAATAATAATAGTAGTAATAATAATTTGATGTATTTAAAGTTCAAATAAGTGTAGACGTGGGCAAGTATTAACCACTAATTATTACTCTTTGTTATCTATTATAAGGAAAAAAATCAATTTTATGCATATTAAAAAGATTTGTTATCTGCATTAAATATTTTTAATTCCATAATACTCTTTCTAGACTATACTATAAATAACAAAAGAAATAATGTAATTAAAAATTAAATTGTCCATGTTATAAATGTCAAAAAAAGAGTAATACAATCCAAAAAAAATTATATATTAAAGAAGTCATTAAATGAGAAAAAGTAATTGAAATTTAATATATTTAAGAAAAAAAGTGTTTGTATTTTTTTTTCCTTTTATTTATAATCGAGAACAAAATAAGTAAAGAAGTATATGGTACCAAAAAAAAAAACACAAAACAAACAAAAGAAGAAGAAAAAAAAACTCCTAGAATTAGAGGTATGTTTCCAGAGCCAAACGAATATGTTTAAATTTTTTTTTATGTTTGCATTGAAATCGTTGAAATAAGTTTTCTTAACCTAAAAGTAAAAAAAAGCCTTCTGGCTGTGAATTTTTTCAACAAAGCATCATTATAAAGCAGTAATTTCAGAGGATGTGATTTTCTTCATAGAGCTACAGCTATTATAAAGCAATTCAGTCACACATTGAAGTGAAACAATGATTCGGTCACATCATGAATCACACAGTTTTTTATTTCTTTTTTTTTTTTTCCTGTTGAGTAATGATATTGTAAATCCATTTTGCGTGAACTGAGGTAAGAAAGATAGGGGAAAAAGTAAATGTAATGGATGATAAAATAAAGTCATAATAGGATAAGACTGAGATAGAACACAAAATGCACCAATAATGAGTATCTTCCTTTCTTGTTAGATTGGCAGCTTATGAAGGGGCAATGAAACATGCAAAAACAAAAGAACATGAACTATAAATCCATTTTACTCCTCATATACATAGCACCGTGTATTTTAATTTAATTTTAACAAAAAAAACGGTGGGAAATAGCCACATCATGAAATATTAAACCGCAAGTACATCAAATTACGATTGACCAAGAAAGTTAAAAAACACAATCTACTCTGAAATTGTAGAGACAAATGATCACAAGCAATTTTTGAGTTCATAATAAATAGAATCATCGCCCTGAAACCGAAGCAACTTCGGCAACGGTTCATGAACCCCCAAATACAAAGTAAGAAACCAACAACAAATGTTCATTTGGCATACATGCAAAGGATTATTCCAATTCGTTAATCATGAATCAATGACCAAAATAGTAAATTTTATATTTTTACGAATCCCCAATCGCATCGCAGAATAAAAAAAGAGGAGAAAAGAATCTCCGAAACATATGCAGCAGAAAATAGAAGGAAAAACAGAGGAATTGAGATTGCGGAGAGTTAGAAAGGGGAATTGAAAGGGTGGGGACATGATAGGATTCGTACCTTGGTTTGAGGTTTACGAGAAATACGAAGACGGCTTCGAAGTAGGACCCTTTCAACGAAACCAAACGAAAGAAAGTGTGAATCTGTAAAAATGGATCACATGCGATTAAGATTCGGAATATGCAATTTATGGGACACTCCAATCACGCGCTTTTGTCAAACAGAAATCCCTGCATTTTTGGATTTCCCCTAAATTTACCCTTTTTAAAAAACAAATCCATTATCCTAATCTTAAACCAAAACAACTTATAATTATACCAAAGTGATTGAGACACGTAATAATTATACATAAATACAATATTAAAAAATTGTTTATAATTATTTTAAAAAATTATAAGATTTTTTTTCATCTTCAAAAAATATAATAATCTATTAAATAGTGAAAAATAAAAAGAATTATATACATATTCTCTTTATAATAAAAATAGATTTTAAAAGAAAAATAATATTTGACTCCTTAAATTTTACATCTTTTATAATTAAATATTTTTAATTTTAATTTCATTCTATTGATCTTAAAATTTATCTCGATAAAGACATAAAATTTAATTATATTATGATTAATCTTTAAATTTTTACCAAATTAATAAGTGTAAAATTTTATTATTATTAATTAATAAAACATTGTCATTTTTATGATTTTTGTGATTGTGATCGTAAAAATTAACGAATTTAAGTATACATTAGTGCATAATCATTAAATTAAATTTTAAATTTGTTTTGTTTAAATGTATAATTTTAAAATTTATTCTTTTCTTAAATATTTTTCTATGAAATTAGAATTAAATTATTTATCTTAAAATATTAACTATTGATTTTTTTTTCTTTTGTTACATTTCATTATCAATATATGTATACTATATCTATACCATATAGATAAAAAGGATTCTCCTTTTGGTGTATACAAATTTTAAACTAATTTATTCTTATAATTATCTCTAAATTATTCTCTCTTTTATTATCTTCTATTCTTTTTTTTTTCTTTTTATCTGCTTCAACAATATTCTTAATCAAAACTTCTCTCTTTAAATAATTACTCATATATACTAATATATAAAGGAGATACCCTTTTCAATAACCACCTTGGTCTCCACTTTTTTTTACTATTATACCCTTTTATTTTAAAAAATTAGAAAAAATATTTTTTAATTAAATTTAAGAACTTGAAACTAATAATCTTATACTAATATATAAAGGGGATACCACTTTCAATAACTATTTTTGTTTTCATTTTTACATGGACCATTTTATCCTTTGTTTATTTTTCAATAACTATTTTTTTTATGAGTAACTTCTCATCTTTTTTCCTTATTTATTTATTTATTCATTTTAATACAATGTAGGCACTCCTGCTAGTTATCTATAATAGTGATTCTTATAAGTAATTTATTAAAGTTTTTATTTTACTTTAAATAGAATTCACCATGTCACATCATTCTTATGCAACTCACACTTTTATAATTTTATCTCAATGGTGAGATCTTATAAGCAACTCACACTTTTATAATTTTTATTTACACTTTACTTTTAATAAATAATATTTTTTTATTTGTGAGAGCGGCTTGTGAGAGTAATTTGCATTCTTAACAACGTTACTTATTTGAGACTCGTTAGTTATTTTTAAGTAATTTCCTATGTCATGTCATCTCATTCTGATGGGAGTTACTAATAAGTATTGTTGTTTATTGGTAAGATACATCATAAGCATTTTGTATTGGAGATGCTCTAAGAACCACAATCAAAGATGCTCTAAGATTTAAAATAAATAATATTTGAGATTTTTTCTTTGTTAGTAATTTAACTATTTTTTTATTGGCCTTATCCCCTCGTATTGTCATGAAATTCACTTGACTTTATTGTCATTCTTATCTAACCCACACAATATGTTTCATGTCTCCTAGTTGAGGAAGTACACACATAACCAAGTCATGTGGTGGAAAGTGATGTGATTTAGGTGAAGGAGAATTTGAGTTATAAGAAGCAACCAACTGCAATTGTGGATTGTAAGGAGAAATAGTTGAGGGGAAAATCCATAAGCCTTTTCAAGGTTGTTTGGGGAGTAGTCACTAGTGAAGCTACGTGGGAGCTAGAAAACAAGTTGAGAGATCAATATCCATTTCTCTTTCTAAGTAAGTCATTTTTTGTGGACGAAAAAATTTCTTGTTGGAGAGAATGGTAACATTGTATGTTTTGGGGTGTTTTCATTTAATTATATGACTAAATGTATGATTAATTGTTAGTTATTATTAGTGTTGTTGTTTTGGAACTTTGAGGGTCGAGGGGCCCTTAATAGTTAAATTGTCTTTGTGGTATTTGAGTCAAAGTAAGGTTGGTCTAACTTAAGAAATGGTATATAAGGTTTTTCATTAGACATGAACCTCATAAATTCAAATTTTAAGAAAATCCAGAGAAAAGTTAGAGAGAAATTCTCTGAAAATCAAATCTTTCTTCTCTTTTTTCTACTAAAAATATTTCTTCAACCCTCCCCTGTAGTTGATCCAAAGTGATTGAGTAGAAGATTCAAAGCCCCCAGAGCTGAGAATATAAGCTAGTGGGAGTCGTATGACAACCCAAAGATTTTGAGATTTCTTCCACTTCCTTTGATTTTTGAACCTCTAGAGGTAAGGGGAGCTTTTCCTTTTGATCAGTGTTGGATTATATTAGTTGCTTGTTGTTGATTCTCATTAATGTTGGCCATTTGAGTTGAATTCCATTGTCATTCTATTTTGCTTGAGTTTTGGATCGTGGAAGTGTTTATAAGTGGATTGTTGATTCTTGGAAAATCTTGGGTTGCATGTTATTTTTGGACCTATTTTCGAGCATAAGTTAGGTAGAGACCCTCTGTATGATTGGGGTTGGGCATGGGTTTTGCCACGCTAGGTGCGAGTAGTTTGGCATCAAACTTGGGTGAGACAGAAAACCCCTTATCAATGGCGTCAAGGGCCTAGGGGATGACGTTGGGCATGAGTTGTGTGATTCCTATGTGATATTCTAAGTTGTCTAATAGTTGAAGAATGTTAATTAAGTTGTATGATGATAACTCATTATGTTTTAATTTTATATACTATATAATGATGTTTATGTTGCTAAGTTGCAAGTTGATAGATGATTCAGTTGTGAAGTTGTATGATGCTATAATTGATCAAGTTATTAAGTTGTTAGACATTTGGTATAGATACATGTCTTTATTGAGATACATAAAAACTAGAGGAGAGTAAAAGTTGTTTTAGAAATTAAAACAACCCATTGTATGAATATAAGTTGTGGTGCTCTAAGAACCCAAGTTGAAAATCTTTCAATAAGTAAGTTGACTTTTAAATAGGTAGTTGTTTTAAGTTGTCTCATCTAGGTTTCATGTGGAAACCATATGTGGGCAAGATCGAGATATACATGTACAAAGTGACTAATCGAGTAAGGTACATGATCGAAAACTTAATCCCTGACTAAGTATTAGAATAACATAGTATTTGGAGGGTAGTTGGTAGACTAATCTCATAGGAAGTTTAATGTTGCAAACTAATGTCATGGTAGACTCATACATAAACAATTCTACCCTAACAGTAGTACTAGACTTGTTAGTTTAACTGACAAAACTTGAGAAATCAAATTTAAGTTGTATACCTGGTACCCTTTGAGGCTTAACGTTGTTTACACTTGACTTGTTAAGATAGGTCAGAATTTATAATTCGATAAGGTCTAGTCATTTAAATTGTTCACCTTTGTTACAAAAAATCTTTATAGTTGATATATGTAACGACTTATTAAATGTTTGTTGTTGTTTATGTTGACCATGTCGATTAAGTTGTAGTTGATAAGTTGTTTTGTGTAGCAAGTTGTATGCGTTATATTGATGATAAGTTGAAGTTGTGTTGTGAGATAATTGCTATCAATTATTTTGTTATGCATTGATATTGTTCTTTTATGTTGATTCTTTTCACAAGCTTACCATTTCTTTTCCTTATGGTTGGAACTGCAATGATCATACTTAGTATAGGGGCATGACAAGATTAGTAGGTTTTCTTGGATGGTTTATGGTGAATCAGGTTGGTAATGAATCTTTTGTTGATGTTACTCGAATGTAGCATGGTCAATGTATAGACGTTTGACCAATGACTAAGAGTTATTTTGTGTATAGTCATATAGTTGATGTAGATTTATATACATGTATAGGGTCTGTGTATGTGTGTGTATCGTTGAGTGGATTTTACTTTTAGTACTATGTTTTTTTTGCCATGTGCATATATAGATTGCTTAAATTACCAGGTAACTATTACATGAGAACTTAAGGATAATTGATTATTATTTGGTATTCTATTGCATAATGATTAAATTATAGCAAGTGTAATGACCTATCAGGTCATTACAAGAAATAAAAAATCACAACCTCAAGTATAATAGCTTTATAGCATTATATAACAACAAAGAAGTTAGCTGAGGTGAATAGTGAATTCAGTTATTTAAAGAAACATTATGACAAACATCATATTTTGCAAGTCAATCGACACATGAATTAACTTCACAAATTGTGCGTTGCATAGTGTCACTCCAAAGTAATTGCAACAATTTTCTAATTACAATGACCAAATAAAAGTAAGGATAAAAGTTATTCCTACGAATATGAACTAACTCTAAGACCATGGTAGTATTTGCCAAGTGCACATGGTTAAATTGGTAATTTCATGTCTTACAAACATGTTACATGTTGAATACACAAGGTTCTATTTTGTTGATAGGACATGTTGAATAATTTTTTTACATAAATAACAAAAATATTACAAATAAATCTATAAAATCAAATTAACTGATATAATAAGATTTTATTATATCAATTTTATCTATACTAGTAAGGTCGAGGCACTTCGTGCCTCTATTAAAGATAAAATAAAATAAAAATCAAATAATAAATATATGTTGATCTAATGTTATAATTAGTTAATTAATTTTAAGGTCTTGATTCTGATAAAAATATTATTTTTTATAATTTTTTAAAATGAAAGGATATAATGGTCAACAAAATATGGAGATCAAGGTAGTTACTAAAAGGAGTACTCTTTAAATATTAGTATATATCGATATCAATCTAAACAATATATGTTCATAGTTATTTTTTAACAGTGAATATTTTAATGTTTTCGTTTATAATCTAAAATATAATATACATGTAAAAAATATTTATATTTTACTAGTAAGGTCGAGGCAC